AAAACAAATCTGGTTTCGGTTTGTAGCACTATTTGAGGCGATTGCAACTGCAATTGATATACAGTATTCATATCAAAATAAATAAAACAGACATTTAAATATTTAATCTGCATTGCACACTGTCGAAAGAATATAGTTTGTTAATCTTCATAATCCATGCAAGAGATCTGTATAAATGCTGTCTTTATTACAGGAAAATTCACCTTTATTATCTCATTTTGCAGAAATATTTTTCATAATTATTGTGACTTTGAAAAAATGAACTTTAAATTTGTGAAATTAGGTTTTACCATTTTATACATCTGTCTGCAATATTCTTATCTCCCCGACAGTATCATATAAGTTGTCTCTAATGTGACATTTTCAATTTTTTTTTCAAAGAAAACAATCATTTTTTTTAAACATGAATACTTGCTCCCTATTTTAATTKAAATTAATATAATATGTAATTTTTCCTCGTAGTTAGTTTTTTTAGATTTTAAGATATTTTAGTTGATCTATAATGTATTGTAAGCACATTGAGGCTAGTCAAGCTGCGCATTTCTAAGAACTGTAATCACTATTATTATTCTGCTTTCTCGAGTTTCTTTAGACAAGCAGTGAGTTATCTATGTGTAAGGTGTCCAAAACATGGCGCATTTTTTTCGCATGTTTGTTCTTTATTTTAATTTAAATAGTACGCTTTCTCGAGTTTCTTTAATTAAACAAGTAGTGCGTTAACTATGAAGCAGGTGACCAAAACATGACGCATTGTTTTTGCATTTCTACGTTAAAATACCTACATAAACTACCAAAACTAGTCTCTAAAATCTTAAACCCAATTCAAGGCGATGTAGGCCACGTTAAACCAGAAGCATTGGCGATGTTCTAAGTCGAGTGGCGTCCGTRAAGTCAGCGAGGTTTTCATGTCGCCAACAGCATTCCTCACTGGCGCCATTTTGATATCACATACCGAGCGAGTATTTTTGAACATTCACACYTTCACTGGACGATTAAATCCAAAATTAATACCCTTTATAGACTCATACCTTGTAAAACAGCACAGAATGCGAGGAATATCAGAGCTGGACGTCCAAARTTCGACATTTTTTGCAACAAACTCTCCACAAACTYTMGCCATCCATTTGTAAAGAGAGAGTGTTTTTAGGGGTTGTGACGTCGCTCTTGCATGATGGCGGCTGTCAGTCAAACCYACRCCAGACAYTCAAGCAATATCACTCGAGTCACCTTTGAACTGTATCAGATTAGTTGGAAAATGTAATAACCTTAAAAGAAAATTTATAACGAACTCTGGTAGGACAAATATCATGAGGTAAAGAACGTATATATTCGTTCCATGAAGAGGGTTATATATGTCATGGCAAATGCGCCACTTCAAGCAAAGCAATCTTTGGGGTACTTGATTTATAAACTGACTTTCGCCTGAGGCGAGTAACATTCATTATCATTTAGACAATGGATTAGCATCTGCACGTCATTGTGTGACTTTTTTTATTGTTAATACAATATAGAGTGACTAGGCGAAGAAAGAGGTTAAAGTTAAAGGAATTTTTTTTAAATATGTACACGAAATGAAATCTATATTACGTAATCCGCTATTGAGTCCCCCCATCCCCCATCCCCCATCCAACCTCTTTTAAGCCCCCTTCCCATGCTCTTAACAAAAGAGCTATATAAAACTACATGTGCACTGATTCATTCGCGTCTTGGAAGCCACCGAAATTCAGCCATCTATCACATAGCAAACCAATGGGGAAACATGCATGTAACTGTATCACAATTATCATGTTAAGCCATTAGTCCATCTGTATGGAAACGTACTGCTGTCATTAAAGCAATGATCAATGTTTAGCTGTGAGTACGAGTATACCGGCAGTACGTTCTGCACACATGCCGGTAGCCCTTCACGCGCATCCAGAGTGCAAACGCTATTTAAACTTTACTTTAAAAAGTATTGACCATTCCTAAACAGCCCGTGAGGCTTTAAAAAAGGATATACGGCCATTTTGAATCTTCTTCATTATCATCATCAGTATGACCTGATTAACATCATCATCATCAACATTACCATCATAAACAACATCCCTTGTGCATTAACATCAGCCTAATTATTATCATCATCATCACCTGTGCATCAACATCACAATTCTCAACATCATCGTCATCAACGTCACCTGTGCACCAACATCACCATCATCAACATCACCATAATCATCATCATCAACGACCACATCACCTGTGCATCAACATCACCACCATCATCATCACATCGCGTGTGCATCAACATCGCCATCATCATCATCATCAACATCACCTGTGCATCAACATCACCATCACCACCTTCATCATTATCATCACCATCACCTGTGCATCAACATCACCATCATCATCATCATCAACATCACCTGTGCATCAACATCACCATCACCACCTTCATCATTATCATCACCATCACTTGTGCATCAACATCACCATCATCATCATCATCAACATCACCTGTGCATCAACATCACCATCACCATCACCATCATCATCATCAACATCACCTGTGCATCAACATCACCATTATCATCATCATCATCACCTGTGCATCAACATCACAATTCTCAACATCATCGTCATCAACGTCACCTGTGCACCAACATCACCATCACCTTCATCATCATCACCATGACCTGTGCATCAACATCACCTGTGCATCAACATCACCATCATCATCATCAACATCACCTGTGCATCAACATAATCATCATCATCAACGACAACATCACCTGTGCATCAACATCACCACCATCATCATCACATCGCGTGTGCATCAACATCACCATCATCATCATCAACAACATCACCTGTGCATCAACATCACCATTATCATCATCAACATCACCTGTGCATCAACATCACCATTATCATCATCATCATCACCTGTGCATCAACGTCAACATTATCATCATCATTAACATCACCTGTGCATCAACATCACCATTATCATCATCATCAACATCACCTGTGCATCAACATCTCCATTGCATCAAAAATAAAAATAAACGAAAAAAGAAGCAAAAGCGTGAGTAGGCATAATGTTTAGGGTTAATCTTTTGCTAGTTTTCAATTTTAAGGATTTAGGTAGACAGGAATAGGTTACTTAAAAACAACATCACCTGTGCATCAAAAATAAAACGAAAAAAGGAGCAAAAGCGTAAGTGGGTATAAGGTTTAGGTCACCCATCCAAGTGYTAACCCTCCTCGACTTTGACTCGRCATCTTGGAAGCCCAAATKTTTTTCCACTGGACCACGGTCCCAGGTGAATCAGCATAACAATAGCCGTGAAAACAACGCACCGAATAGACTAGACTTTTTAAYATCATTTTTTCGACCGATTCCGTGCGTGGCAGAGATGCAAGGGATTAGCCGATATGGTCTGGGGGCCGGCTGGTCTCTCCCTTGATGCTTCGGCTAGAACATTTTCTTGCGTAATTCGTACACCCAAGGGCAGAAGGATTTAATCGTCGTCCGTCAGGTCCGAAGTCCATACGCCGCCTCAGCTCTGCGGATGTCTCGGGGGTATGGCAAAGTGGAGTCGTATTTTTTGAATTTCTTTTGGTGGGTTTGAATCCCATCTTATCCACATAAGATTTTTCTTTTCTTTTCTTTTCTTTTCTTTTTTAATCGATCCATTTTTTTATTATATTTAAATCTTCAACAATAAGGCRATCTTTTTAGTGAAAAAAGATTTATTTCTAGTGGGTTGCTTAAAAGCTTGTATAAGTTCGATCAGACGTTATCAGTCACCTAAGCAGTCGATCCGCGAAAAGTAGCAGAGCTATGCTTTCCTATCTTTCCTGGCATATTTTGCTGACAAGAACATTTGCTGCAATTAGATGTAATATTTCAAAGCCGACAATGAGGACTGGGCGGAAAGGAATGCATTCAGTCTGGAGTAACTGGAACAAAATTAATTCAGTCCTAGGACTGAGAACAAAATTAATTCAGTTCTAATTATTCGACTTGGAGTAACTGGAACAAAATTAATTCAGTCCTAGGACTGAATTAATTTTGTTCTCAGTCCTAGGACTGAATTAATTTTGTTCCAGTTACTCCAGACTGAATGCACTCCTTTCACAGCACTTTACCAGGTTTCAAGTAACATCATGTGACCCAAAAATAGCCCATTGATTGGCTGGTTTACTCATACATTATTAATGAGTAATGTTGAGAGAACACTCGAGAAGCTGGAAACCACTCCGCTTCGCGTCGTGGTTTCCTACGCTCCTCTCGTGTTCTCTCAACATCCCGCGTGTTTAAACACGGAAAACTGTTTTTGATCTGTTAAATCATATGCCCGCAAAGGACTAGTGGGTGATGCCGTGAAGACTTCTGGGTACTATTGCGCAATTTCTGCGTTTTCTGACAAGGAAAAAGTAAATAATATACTAATAATAAAGGATGGTAAAAGGAGAAGAAAATTGGTGATTCTAACAAAGAACGTTGGGATATTTGGTCTTGTTGCGTCATGGTGCAAGATCACATTCACAAGTAGTGTGACATGCATAACGCAAAACTGTTTATTTTATTGCCCAAAAAGGGCACAACCTGCATTTATTTTAATATTATGTAAAGAACAACTTAAGGGAAAAGATCGACTTAGAAGAGTTAAACGAAATTATTCTATTCTGTGAAAAATACCATTATCTTTTGGCTAACATGTCAAACTTCTTCAGCTGTAATAATTACTGATCTTATCAAAATCCATTGTTTTCAGTCTGCATTATCCCAACGAATGCATAGAGGAAAATCAGACATTCATTATTGGCTTTGTTTCTATAATAAACAAGCTAGAAAGAAAACAATTGGATTTTGACAAGAACAATAATTAATAGATAATTACTGAGGCACGCAGCATTCGTAGGTATATCGGGCTATGCCCTCAGCTGCCTGCATTATACCTACGAATGCTGCGTGCCTCAGTAATTATCTATTAACTAGTCCTTTGTGCATGATACAGGCAACCCAGTGAACACCTATAGGGCGTCTTTTTTTAATCACACATTATTACATAAAAATCAATTAAGTGTTAACACATTTAATACGTATAAGAGAAAAAAAACAAAATCGAAAATATACGGTTACATTAAAAATTTTAAAAATTACAATATTCAATGATTCATTGGAACTTTAGCTTATTTGCAATGGAGATAAACCTCTCTGTGGAAAAAATTCTTAAAAATGAACTAGTTCAACCCTAGATTGGAAATAATAACCGATTCAAAACTCGAATATCTGATTGGATTATTCCATATACACCTATTTCAATAAAGTTAGTCACCTGAAAAGCTACAAAGCTGAGACCGACAAGGATTGTGGTTAGATACATTTTACATGTGTCAACTGCTTGATAACTGTTGACGGACTTGAGATCTTCTACCAGTTACAAGTTAACCTCCTCTGAGCATCCTCAACGGCTGCAGTTTGTGTCAAAGACTTTACTTGTTGGATATGAAATATTTCCCATGATTCTTAGCGATCGCTTTCTAGGTTTTTGGTGACTAACTTTATTGTAATAAGTATATATATTGGAAGTGTAAACCTCAGTTCAAAAGACACATCACTCAAATCAAGAACGTTTTTTAGCATTCAACTATTTACTTCATGTAGTATCAGTACTGAAAGATTGTCGAAGGTTTCATATGCACTTTAAAAAATGAGCCAATTTGTATGGGAAATCGCACGATCTCGAGAAGGCGAGTGCAATTAAAGAACTTTCAAAACATTACGAGTGTCTATTAATTCCAAATTGTACGAGAAGATCGTGCGATTTTTTGTTTATAGTTCACTCAACAAAATTTCAGTAAAAAATGCGAAGCGACGCCGTTCATCTTTGTCTATTTGGCGGCCGATTTTC